TGGCTGATGAAAGACAGTGAAACCAGGTGATGCCGGCACAACTAGAAGATGAATGCAGTGATATGATACAGTAGATGGAGGAGGAGGAGGAGAAGAAGAAGAAATACCTGATGAATGAAACCAGTGAGGCTTACCAGAGCAGAAGATGAAGAAGACGGTCATTTTTTTGGTTTTCTGACTTTTCAGTTCTTTTGAAATTTTGGCTTCCTATATCATTTATTTTTCTAGGTTTTTTGTTGCTTTGTTTGGGCCAAAAACAGCTTTTTAAATGGCCATTTTCTCTTTAAAAAAATGCTATTTCTAATTTGTATTAATAAATTTGAAAAGAAAAAAAAAAAATTTAAGAGAGGCGCACGCCTCATGCCTCGTGAGGCGCAAGCTGTGAGGCGTGCGCCTCAGCTTTAGAGGCGCATGCCTCCTATTTTTGCCTAAAAAACAAACGCCTCGAGGCGAAACATATACGCCTCACACGGCGCGCCTCAGGACCGCCTTTTCATACCATGGACATACTCGAATCGGATGGTGAAGTAGGTAGGATAGGTTCAGGAGGGGAGAGATTGAGGTCAAATAACCCATCCTCATGTAAGATCTCCCCTTGAAGAGAGGTGTTTTCAAAGTATGGAATATTTTCGAAGAAGGTGACATCAAGGCTTATAAAGATCATTTTTGTAGAAAAGCTATAACATTTGTAGTCTTTTTGTGTAGGAGAATATATGATCATAACACATTTAATAGCTCGGGGTTCAAGTTTACTTCTGTAATGAGGGTGAACGTGAACGAAGATGGTGCACCCAAACACTCTTTGGGCTAGATTAGAGGTGAGACGAGAAGTTGGGTAATATTTCTGAAATTTTTGGAGAGGTGTTTCGAAATTTAGAGCACGACTAGGCATCCGATTGATTAGATAGATGGATGTAAGGCCAGAGTCCCCCCAGAACATTTTGAGCATGTTTGTAGTGAACATTAAGACCCGAGCAACCTCTAGGAGATGTCTTTTTGCGTCGGCAATCTCATTTTGTTAGGAAGTGTCGACCCAGGAGCTTTGATGAATTGTCCCATGTGTTTGGAGAATGTCTTCTAGGATGTGATTGAAATATTCAATGCCATTATCTTTGTAAAATTTGAATCTGTGTTTGGAATTTCGTTTGAATCATAGAATGGAAGTT